TTGGCAAATATTGGTGCAAAAAAACAGGAATTTTTCGCAAGGGTAACTCATTGCTGAAAAATTCATAACTTCTAATCTAGAAGCTACAGGAACCTGAAACTTTCACAATCGATGGAATATATCTCAGTCTAAACAGGGGGAAAAATATACGAAAATCTCAATAAATCCTGATTTTTGTTGATTTTACAAATGTGAATGTGAAGTTGAAGAAATTTGGAACTCTTCACTTCGATACAACACACTTCAATCTAGACATCTTATAAATTTCAATCAAATAGGGTGAAATACTGACTTTAATCGGCTTGATATACTTTGAATTTAAACCGGGTGTTTTTATATCTGGCTTAAAAATTAATAACTTCCAATCTAGAGTAAGAAGGAACTTCGAACTCTCAAAATTGAGGTAGCGTGTTTGAGCCTAAACAGAGCGAAAGATTCATTTAAACTCGGGTATCGACTSGTTAAAYGTTGGTTTATAAATCGCYGTTTTTGCCCAAGTGTCTTGAAAAATTCGTAACTATAGAATACACTTTGGCCTAGACATTAGCAAAATGTGGATCAAATCCCGTAAAATCGTGAGTTTTGCCGACTTGGCAAATGTTGACCGAAAAATGAGCATATTCACGCAAGTGCACGTAATTTTGGAAAAATTCGTATCTCCCAATATAAAATGGCCAGCCGCACGAAACTGTCAACTTCTGGAGAGCAGACTTGGTGCTGGACAAACTCCAAACTTCATTCAAATCGCGTTAAAGTCCGATTTTTTAACGACTTAATTTATTCTGGCCAATAAATGGCCGTTTTCATCCAAGTGTTTAAAACATCAATGTTTTGAAATGTGCTAACTCCCACTCTAGAGCTCGCAGCATATTGAAACTTTTACAGTCTGTAGAACACGCTCAGTCTAAACCACGGCAAATTGCAATCAAATGGTGCAAAATTCTGATTTTTTGTGAGCTTGGTAAATGTTGGCATTAAGGAGAGCTTTTTCACACTAGCGCGACTCAATGCTTAAAAATACATAACTTCTAATCAGATGGCCGCAACAAGTTAAAACTCTCCAAATATAAAGCCGAAACCTGCATCGAAACAACGAAAAACACTCATTCAAATCTCATAAAATCCTTATTTTTTTCTGCATGGTAAATGTTGGGGTATAAATGTTCACTTAAGTGCACTGTATTTAAATAAAAATCGCAATTGCCAATCTAGAGCCGACCCGCAACTTAAGGCCCCTAAAGTCTATAGAGCACACCTCTATCGACACATCCCGAAAATGTCACTGAAATCACGTTAAATTCGAATTTTTCGCCAACTTGGTAAATGTGGGTTTAAGTCGGGCGATTTCACACAAATGCCGCTCACTGCTTAAACATCTATAACTTCTAATCTGGAGTTGAGAGCAAATTGAGACTCACACATTGTATAAGCTTTGCCTGAATCTATCGAACGCGAAATATTCGTTGAAAAAGTCCCAATTTTTGTCTATATGGTAAATATTGCTCTATAAATGGGCGTTTTCACCCAAATGTACCCGATTTTTGAAAAACTACCTACTTTCAATATAGAGCCGGCAGCAACTGGAAACTCCTAAAGTCTATAGAACACACTTCCGTCTAGACAACCCGCAAGATTGCTTCAAATCACGTAAAATTCTGTTTTTTGCCAACTTGGTAAATGTTGATAAAACACAAGTTTCCACACACGGGCACTCAATGCTCAAAAATGCATAACTTCTAATCTAGATAAGCCATCAACTTGAAACTCACACAATCCATTTAGTATATTTGAATCTTATCAGACCGAAAAATTCTTTGAAATCCCTCTAAAGCCTGATTTTTGTTTTTATGGTTAATATTGGTCTACAAATGGGAGTTTTTCCTCAAGAGCACTATACTTTTGCAAAATTTGTAAACTGTACTTGTTCACTCCTAATCTGAAGCTCGAGGCAACTTGAATCTCTATGAGACGATAGAAAAACTTTGAGTCTTGAAAAAATAGGAAACTTTCTTCAAATCGCCTTCAGCTCGATTATTAAAAAGATATTTACTTTTTGGAAGAAGTTAAAAAGTAAGCAATTTTCCAGTTTTGCTCTGTCTCTCATGAGCAAATTGCCAGCGGAAAAATAAAAATAACTGCCAAAACGGCTCTTGGTATTGGCGAACGTTTCTGCAATAACCCAAAAAATCGCCCATTCTTGCCCACCCTGTATATAGCAGTGCCGGTAAAATCTCTCCCAGATTTGCCTCTGTGCTAGAGGAATTACGCCTCTTTTCAATCACTCTGTATAGTATAGAACCTCTACAAACTCCACTTGGATATTAATTCTTTATTTGACAGGACTAACGCGAGGAATCACGTCCTATTGACGTGTTTGGTCCATAAAAAGTCACTTGTGTGAAAATGACGTGATAATCACGTAACCAAATGTTTCCTCATTGTTTCAGGTGTGGGAGTGTACATTTCGAGAGTGGAAGAGGGCAGCGTGGCCGGAAGGGCGGGGCTGAGACCTGGTGACTCGATTCTGGAGGTCAACGGGACTCCGTTTATAGGGATTTCGCATGAGGAAGCCCTCAAGGTAATAAAAAATGTAAGCACGCATTTTTTACATATCCTTTCAATTAATCAGTTTCAACCTAAATTTAGTAGTCAATTTGCAGTTGTGAACGGTTAATCTTTAGCCCAGTGCTAAATGGATGTCAGACAATGAAAAAGCCAGCAAAATTAATCAATGTCCGGTCGGAGAGTCAGGCGCTGCATGAAGAGATTTTAATTGCGAATCCTAATTGAATTCTAAAATATGGGAGTGATTCTTTCGGCGGCCGAACGCTCTTTTGCTTCATCCATAAATCATATGGCACAAGGGTGAAATCCCAATTCGGGCGCGTGATTTGCAATTTTCCTCCTCTATCGGCGCATTATCGGACAATATCCATTAAACATTTCCTCGATCTACTCCAACAATCTTGTAGTGTTTACCATCAGCGAAAACGGAGAAAAAGTCAAACAAAACCGCATTCTCCGCTGGAATTAACCCCGATAATTCCTCTCAGTCTCCACTCACACACGGAAATCTTTTCCACACTTTCCAGGTAAATACAAGCGCTCTTCTGATGTAATTCTTTCCGGGAAACCGTTGCCAAAGAAGCCGGATACTCGGATATGGTCGAGTGTAGCGACAAATAAACCCTAGAGGAAAGCCTGTTTCGGCCCTTTGAAGGGCAAGCGATGTTAATTCCTTTGTCGATTGATGCAAGGAGGCGAACTGCTTGTGTAGAAAAGCGTTGGTTTGGCAAAATTCAAAAGTTCCTGCTGTGAAACAAGCTTGCAATCGATTATACACACACACCTGTTAAATGAGCTTTGCTTACCTGCAAACTACGATACAAAGCATTATTATTGACTTGCAACGGAGATTTGCCGCAGTGTTGATAAGAATCGTGCAAACAATTGCCCGCTTCCACTACACCTGGCTGTCGGGATTTATTGCCTTAACAAAGAACTGCTGGTGGAAAGCCTGAAGGAGTGGATAAGGAAGGAGTATTTCTTGGTCTCTGGTTAATTCATGTATGAATCCCGTTGATAGGGTGACACGCCTTTGGGCGGTTTTCCTCTTTCTTCTTTCTGTGCTCTTTTCCGATGTCTTCCACGATTGTTCTTTCGTTGGATTTCTTATGTCCTCATGTTTTACATGTTCCATTCCTGCTCTTCTCCAAAAATCCACTTCAACTGCTACTAAATTGTACTCGAGTTTTCGGTGGCCTCTAAAAAAAATTCTGAAAACTTTCTTCTTCTGAGTTTTTCTTGATTTAAAGCCACGGACTTTCTCTTTCCAGCAATGTTATGGGCCGGGTTGAGAAATTTTTTGGTTTTCCTTGGCGAATTTTTGAAAATTCCGTGTTGCCCAACGGCCAATCGCCTCGACCTTCGTAACTCAAAAAATCCTGAAAACTCCCACAAATTTCCTAGTAAAGTGAGGTTTTCCTCATTTAGAGCCACGGATGTTATTTTTCAATTGGTGTTGTGCGCACGTATTTGGAATTTTTGGCTTTTCCTTGACAAATTAAAAAAAAAATCGTGTTTTCCAACGGCCAATCGCTTCGCCTTAATAACTGTAAAAATCCTGAAAACTCCCACAAATTTCCTATTAAAGTGAGTTTTTCCTCACTAAAAGCAGCGGATTTCGTTCTCTAGTGATGCTCCGGGCTGGATTCAGGGATTTTTTTTTTCCTTGACAAAATTTTTAAAAACTCGTGTTTTCATCCTTGGTAACTGAAAAAATTGTGGAAACTTCCTCAACGCAAAGCCACGGACTTTCTAGTTTCAGTTATATCATGGGCCGGATTCAGAAAGGTTTGATTTTTTCTTGGGGAATTTTTGAAAATTCGTGTTGTCCATGGAATAATCGGTTCGATTTGGTATGTGGAAAAATCCTGAAATCTCTTATAAATATCCTATTAAAGTGAGGTTTTCCACACTTAAAGCAGCCTATTTTTTCTTTCGAGTGATATTTTGATTCGAATTGTGGGATGTTTTGGTTTTTTGTTAACAAATTTTCAAAAATAAGTGTTTTACAACGGCTAGTCGACTCTCCTTGGTAACTGAAAAAATTGTGAAAACTTCCAGAAATTGCCTATAAAAGTGAGTTTTTTCTCACGCAAAGCCGCGGACTTTTTAGTTCCAGTTATATCATGGGCCGGATTCAGAAAGGTTTGATTTTTTCTCGGGAAATTTTTGTCTCTCCAGTTCTGTTATGGGCCGGATTGAGAAATTTACGACTTTTTCTTGGCAAATTTTTGAAAATTCCGTGTTGCGCAACGACCAATCGCTTTGATTTGGTAGCTGAAAAAGTCCTGGAAACTCCCAGAAATTTCCCAGAAAAGTGAGGTTTCCCTCATGAAGACCTACAGATTTTATCTTTCAAGTGGTGTTATGCGCACGCTTGTAGAATTTTGGGCTTTTTCTTGTCAAATTTTTGAAAATTCCGTGTTAGCCGCCAATCGCTTCGCCTAAATAACTGAAAAAAGCTTGGAAACTACCACAAATTTTCTATTAAAGTGAGGTTTTCCTCACTTAAGCAGCAGATTTTCGCTTTCGAGTGATGTTCTGGGTTGGATTCAGGGACTTTTGGTCTTCCCTTGACGAAATTTTGAAAAACTCGGGTTTCCCATCGGTTAGTCGACTCGCCTTAGGAACTGAAAAAATCGTGAAAACTTCCTTGAAAATTGACTATAAAAGTGAGTTTTTCCTCACTTAAAGCCACGGACTTTCACTTTCCACTTATATTATTTGCCGGATTGAAAATTTTTTGGTTTTTCCTTGACTAATTTTTTTAAATCCCTTGTTGTCCAACGACCATTCGCTTTGATTTAGTATCTGAAAACTCCCCGAAATTTCTTCAAAAAATTAGGTTTTCCTCATTTAGAGCTCCGGATTCTATCTTTCAAGTGACCTTCAGCGCGCGCTTGTGGGATTTTTGGCTTTTTATTGTCAAATTTTTAAAAAATTCGAGTTTTTCAACGGCCAATGGCTTCCGCTTAATAACTGAAAAAATCCTGGAAACTCCTACAAATTTCTTATTAAAGTGAGTTTTTCTTCACTTAAAGCAGTGAATTTTCTCTTTCGAGCGATGTTCTGGGCTGAATTCAGGAATTTGCGGTTTTTCCTTGACGAAATTTTGAAAAACTCGTGTTTTCCATCGGCCAGTCAACTCGCCTAAGTAACTGAAAAAATTCTGAAAACTCCCAGATAATTTCTATTAAGGTTTGGGGGTTTGGTTTATGGATATCCCTAACCTCTAAAGAAGTAGAGGCAAATCGAAAAGTCGCAATTTCAAATTGAAAAAGTTCGAAAGGGTCTAGCTCTGAAACCATTGAAAATATCGAAAAAATCAATAGAACATTTTCGATAGGGCGTCGCAAGGCCCATCTTTGTCTCCATGACTTGTCAGAAATCTCTAACCTCTAAAGAGATAGAAGCAAAATTTTTGTAATTCTGGAATTTCTTGCTGTATATCTTAAAAACAAAGAGAACCATCTGATCATGATAATCATTAGGACCGTTTCCATAGAGCGCCTCAAGTGCTACCGTTTGCTTAAATCATATTTTGAGTGATTTCTAACCTTAAAAAGTTGCGACAAAAATACCAACTTTAAAGCCTCCGTCGAAGTTAGAGTGCTTCTAGCTGTAAAACGGTTGAAAATTTCCAAATAATCATGAGAATCTTTTCGATAGAGCAGCTCAATGACTATCTCTGTTTCTCTAAGTTTTATTGGAAACCTTTAACCTTTAAAGGCTTGGGACTATTTGATCTCACGCTTGCCAAGCGCCCCAACCCGATTTTCAGTTGCATCGGGGTGTTTTGAACAATGAGTTTCCGAAAACTGGCCAAGATAGGAAGACGCTTGCAACTGCATTAGAAAAGAGAAAAATCGCTCTTAATCCCCTTAAAATCTCAGTATGCGCAAAAAATTGAGGAATTATTGGCAGGTGTTTGAACGTACACTTGCCATGGGCCCTAACTAGATTTTCAGGTGCGTAGGGTTGTTTCTAAAAAAGTATTTCCCTTAAACCAGGCAAAATTGAAAGGCGCCTGCACGCCTACTGAAAAACCAGTACTTCACTTTAAATGAGCTGGGAAAGGCATTTTTCGCGATAAATCTGGGAAATATTGGCAATTGTTTGAAGCAAACTTCCCAAGGCTTCTTAAACTTGGTCACGGAATTTTTAGGGATGCAAAACCTAGCAGGACAAAATTTTCTGCTAAGGTTTTTCCTCTGTTCCGACCTTTTCCAGTTTTAAGGCACCGGATTCTCGTCTTTCACCCTTTTTTGTATTTTTACATCCATTGTACGCCATGTACCCAGATGCCACAACAAGGATGTTGGTTTAGACTTCCCCCGGTGTTTGGTTAATTCAACACGTAAATCGCTTCGCGTTGCGAAAAATCCTACCGACTGCGCCAAAAATTTTTTTTGCACTTTCGAATAGATTGCCGACGCGACGATGAGCCAGCTGCGTATCTAGTGGATGTTTTATTGCAGATGTTGAAATCCTGCCGGAAATTGAGCATGACGGTTCGAACACCGAACCTGCCAGGAACCGGTTCGATGGCATGCAGTGGCGCCCCGTGGCAAATGCGCCAAACTTGCTCGTGGATGGACAGGCATGGAAGGCCGGTTTCGCCTCCTCTGGAATACTCCAAAGGGCGTTTGGGGCATGCACGAACCACTAGCAAAGATCGAAGCATTCGCCGGGTAAGTCCAGATGGTTCCTCTCCGATGCTAATCAATAGAACTTCCTGCGCTCCATTAGTTTCCTGCCACTCATAGTTCATCCTTTCACGTTTCTTGCTGGAAATTGTTGCGTTGTTTCGAGCTTTTGGGCCGTGGTCGCGTAGAGTTTCTTCGTAACGTTTCAGAGAAGACTATGCTTTCGAGCTTTGGTTCCGCCAATTTTTTTTCACTTTTCTAATTGTTGAACTAAGCATTTTTTTCCATACAGGTGGACCTTTGCATCGAATCCGGGGAGAGTTTGGGCCTGATGATCCGAGGAGGTGTTGAGTACAATCTAGGCATTTTCGTCACAGGAGTAGACAAAGACTCTGTGGCTGATAGAGGCGGCTTAATGGTAAGTGGGTTAGGAAAGTCTGCAAATTGCGAATGCAGTTTAGCAGGCAACAAACGTGAAAACCACGTGAAAAGAACGTGAAACTGTACCTTAAAGTTTCAATTTGGGAGCGTTAAAGTGGACTGGTCCACAAACGCATTGTTTCACTTTATAATCACACTTCACAACATCTGACTGACAAGACTGTTTTGATCCTGTGTTGCCGCTTAAGATTTCGATAAATTTTCCCAAGAATTTTTTTCCCTTTCTCTTATCTATTTCAAAATAAAGGAAATTCAGTGCGCAACCTTTAAATGATTTACCATAGCTGAAATCAAGTTTTCACTGTTTTTCTGTGTTTTTGAGATCAATGTATCACTTTTGACCAAATGAACTCCCCAATTTACAGGTCGTCCCAAAACAGGTGTGAATTCTTCTGGATGCAAAAACATACTTTCTCAACTAAAATCTCTTGTTAAAGGACTTTTAAAAAATGTGTATAAATTGAGATTTTTTCATTATGATCCGGGTTAAACATGTAAATTGCAATTTATTTGGGCCAGAAAAAGTGTTGTTTTTCGTAAGAAATACTCCACTCGACAAAATGTTCATTTTTCACTAAAATCGTCTCAAGAGGCCAAATGCTGCATGAAAATTACGAGTGATTAAATGCTTTTTGAGGAAAGTGACAATTTTGACCAAAAAATTACCTTTAACTCCGCACTGGCGAGAATAAAAGCCTTTTTATTGAAAATCGAACACAAGAAAACCAAAAGTGATACACTTGCAATAAGTTTGTAGTTTTTACTATGGAAAATATGACATTTTCAGTTTAAACGCCGAAAAATTGGAGCCTCAGCCAGAAAACTTGAACAAATAAATGCCAGGAAACAAACCACTGAGCAAGACTTTGCCGGTTGCTTGATTCAAAGTCATCCCAGGCGCATTTTGATGGCATATTCGGCTTTTTGGGACAAATTTTGCATAAAATAAGTTTCATATCGGCGATAGTTTCACCCAAAAAAATGTATATTCTAAGCTGAAAAAACGTTTTTGTTACAAAAATTACCCGTCGACATTTTCCAATATGAAGTTAGAACTGAAGTGTTTTAAAGAGTTTTCAAGAAAATTCATAATTTTAACTCAAACAATGCCCGAAATGGAAAAGTTTTGAATTAAGAAACTGAAACTAAAACCGTCGCCATAATTTTCGATTTTAAACTTACATGTTTTTAGGGCAAGGGACTTGCTTGATCCTAGTTGAGCTTAAAGAAATAAATGCCGGAAAACGAAGTTTTCACTGTTTTTCTGTTTTTGAGCTCAATGTATCACTTTTGACCAAATGAACTCCCCAATTTACAGGTTGTCCCAAAAAAGGTGTGAATTCTTCTGGATGCAAAAACACTTCTCTCTCAACTAAAATCTCTTGTTAAAGGACTTTTAAAAAATGTGTTTAAATTGAGATTTTTTCAATATGATCCGAGTTAAACATGGAAATTTCAATTTATTTTATTTATTCGACAGTCACTCTTCACATTCAAGTGATGTTTTTCAATAAAAAATAATTAACCTTAACGACGTTTCGAGAACACGATTTTTATGAAGTTTCAGCTTCAAGGGCCAGAGTCACCATAAAATTAGTCCGATATCAATGGGTGAATTTTCAACAAAATCTTTCTACATTTGGCGACTAAAATCGTTTATTTTTTGTGAAAAAATTCACATGATTTTCAACAAAAATCGTCTGAAAAAGCCAAAGTTTACCCGAAAATTCCAATCCACTATCTAAAAAGTTTTAGAAAAGATTAACTATTTTGAACAAAAGCGTTTTGATTGAAAGCACAAATTCAGGAAAACTGAAAGTGATACTTTTGCCAAGAGGTTTTATTTTTGCTTCCAAAAATTCACATTTTCCGCGTAGCGCATTTTCAAGTGGTTTAAAGAAGACAAAAACTGATATTCAAACTCCAATTATTTAATGAAATTGAAAATGTCAGAAAACCACAATCGACGCAAATCGCTCACTTCACATCATCATTCCAGGTAGATTCTGATTACATTTTCGGAATTTTAAGTAAAATTCACCATCAAATGCGTTCCATATCGATGGTGGTTTTCCTCCAAAAAAGTCTATTCTAAGCTTAAAAAAATGTTTTATTTTGCAAAAATTATGCGTCGACATTCAAAACGCCAAATTTCAAATCAGAACTGAACATTTTTAATTAATTTCAAGAAAGTGAAGAATATTGGCTCCACAAGGGTCTGGAACAAAACCGCTTTGAATGAAAAAATTATCGTGTCGCCTTGATTTTTCAGATTTGCTTTCCAAAATGCACATTTTCTGAAGTGATGTGATGTAAATCAAACTTTAAAGTTGAAAATGAAAGAAATAAAGGCCAGAGAGGACGGCGTTTAGAGGACAATTTGCAAGTTCATCGCTTCAAAGGCTTAAAAAAAAAAGTGTATTTTAAACTGAAAAAATGTTTTTGCTGCAAGAACTACCTTTCGACATTGGACTGATTTTCAGCCCAAATCTAAAAGTGTCCCAGAAAGCCAAATATGAAAACACAACTGAAAAGTTTGAAAGGGTTTTCAAGAAAATTGAGAATTTTGACTCAAAAAATGCCCGAAACGAAAAAGTTTTGAATTAAAAAACTGAAACTAACACTGTCGCAATAATTTTCGATTTTAAAATTACATGTTTTTAGGGCCAGGGAATTGCTTGATCCTAGTTGGACTTAAAGAAATAAATGCCGGAAAACGAGTTTTGGAGAGCAATTTGCAAGTGAATCGCTTCAAAATCATCTCAGGCGAATATTGATTCCAGTTACGGCTTTTTGAGCCAAATTTTGCATAAAATTAGCCGCATGTCGATTGGTGGTTTTCCAA